CGTCATTTTTACGTTCGGCATTATGGTGCGAGCTTCGGACCCCCAAACCCAAACCCAACCCAAACCCAAACCCCAACCCCAAACCCAAACCCAATGAAGCAATATCTATTAACCCTAAATATGTTGATGCATGGAATAACAAAGGTAATATATTGTTAAATATTAATATATAGGTATAGCATTATACAATTTGAAAAAATTTGAAGAAGCAATTTAATGCTACGAGAAGGTTATATCGATTAATCCAAAAGATGAGTAAGCAATAAATATAAAAGGTAAATATATTATTTATTCAGGTTTACTTCTACAAGAATTATAGAATGATTTGGACGCACTTTCTTGTTTCGAGCAAGCCATTTAAATTCAAACTAGTGCTATTCGATTAAAAAATAAAGGTTATTAATCTCTAATTTTTCTAGCTGATTCATTATTTGAATTAAGGAGAAAATCAGAAGCTAAATACTTTTATTTTGCTGCATAGGAACTGGGTTTAGATCAGAACGCTTATATAAAAAGTTAACTATCAAAGTTATGAAGAATTATATATTGGTATATTAAATTATTTTATATTCTTTAAATGTAATAAACAAATATTGTGTGCTTTATATGTGAATACATGTAAGAAAACAAAATATGATGATAGTGATCATTTTGACAATTAATAATTGAAGCTGTTATGTAAGCCAAATTTATCATACTTGATCAACATTTGAATAATATTCCACTTTATCTTGTTTAGTTGAATTTTATTTTATTATTATTATTATAAACAGTATTTACTACTAAAATAAATTGATTGAATCTTTAAGTATTTGCCATAAACAAAATATGAAATTAAGAATTTAGATTATGTACATTACAAAAAGTTAAATTAGTTTTTTCAATTTTTATAGAAGAGATATTTTGATAAATACTACATAATACTTTCCTTTGAGGCATTTCCAATCATAGAACTTCAAAGGTATATAAAGTCAGTTAATTTGAAAGTAGCCAATAAAATATTAAATTACAATCAAAGCTACAATATGTATTCCTAAGATAAGATTTGAATTAATTAAACAATCGAATTTCAATTAATGAGTAAAAATGTCAATAAAATGGCATTTGTAAAAGAATAAAATTTTGCAATGAATTTATCAAGGTTTGGCTAAATTACCTCAGCAGTGAGAATTCAGATACAAAGATTTTAGTCATTCACCTTTTAATCTGCAGTCTAATAATTTGGTTAATAGGGATGAAAATATTAATCAGTCCTCAGCATTTTTCTTGTGTTTGAAAACTTAGGTCACCATCAAAAATGCATTTAAGATGTATAATAATTGTGGTAACTGGATAAAATCAGCAGTGTGAAATCTATTGAAAAGAATTCAATCATCTAATTTTAATTTTTGTTGTCTAATATTTTTTCAGTCAGGTTGAAAATTGAAATAGGCGTTAATATTTATCTAATTATAAATTGAAGACAACTTATATGATAAATATGTTTGTAATTTGTAAAAAGCCATTACATTCTCGTTTGTAATGCAGATTCGAATAGAGCCAAAGCTTTACATAAATTTCTAATAAATACCATTGAATTACAACATTAATTTGATATTCTTAATTAAAAATAATTGTCCTCAAATATGTAGAATGCCATTTTTTAACAGTCTAATAATTTATCATTAAATTAGAATCGGGATATGTTTCTTGACCTGCAATTTTAGAATTGTAATATTAAATGGTGAGAAAAGATTTTTCTCAAACTGTAGTTTTAGAATTAAAATATTAATAATATTAGACTAATGAGAATTTGTTCTTATTGTCAAAGAAATGCAATATTATCAATATAGGAATAGAGAGAAAATTTTTTAACACCATATATTTTGTTTTCCATTTTTGACCATCAAAAATTGTTATCTCAACTTTTACCTCCTAATAATGGTAAATTTTGGAAATTTTCAAATTCACAAATCGGGGGTGGAACCTACATAGTTTTTTGATTCACAAATCCGGGGGGAGGGGTACTCACCTCCCGAATTTAGTAGGGGGTTTTCCTAAGCTCCCTACGGCCGGAATACGAATTAGGGGGCTTTCCTAAGTTCCCTACTGCCGGAATATGAATCTCTATCCGTCCTTTGGAACGTAAAAACTTAATAGGAAATACTTCCTTTCTTATTATATCTACCAAGATTTGCTTACCTAGTTTAACATACCACTTCAGATTATTTCCTTATTGCCAAATAGTTTTATATTATTAATTATGATCTAGTTTTTCCTGATCGTCAATATATTTATAAAGTGTTAAATTCTCTATTTTTTAATCATCAAGAAATACTTTCCTTATTATGATTTTTTATATTTCATTTTGGTATTGATTTAAAACCTTTGTTTAATATCTAATGGTATTTTCTTTT